AGCCAATTCCTGCCCCAGTTCACAACTGGTTGGAGGTCCTTTTCAAGACGCATGACCAGGTTATTTTTGTCAGTGACACTGGATTTATTTTTGAGGTCTAGAGAAGAGCATCTCTGAACATACAACATATCAAACCTTGAAGTAGATGAATCCATACATTCAGTTAAATGTAAAAATAAAATCATCCTTGATAATGGCTAAAAGTATAGCTGAAAGTGCTTGGACATACAAAACATTTGCACAATTTCTACATAATTTATGACCAGAAAAGAAAATTATATGAACTCAAGAAAAATTAAATGAAAAAACCACAATACGTTGTCAGTCATATTTAATGAAACTTTATATATATATATATATATATATATATATATATATATATATATATATATATATATATATATCCTGGCTTGAGGCATTCGGATGTCTAGCCACATTAAGGAGCCGTGATACAGCAAAACAGTACTGTCTGCAAATGACATAATTTAGCTCTTGAAAATATATTTCAATTGAGCACTGTTGAGTGATAAGCTAATTCTATAAACAACAGCCACCTGCGCAAATGCAAAGCTCTTCAGTAAAATGAATGAAACACTTCAGCTGATTGGCATTTGTTTATATTTGTAAAAACAATATGCTAGATTTTGCTGTGTAACTCTGCTGAGTGAAGATAGCTAAGTGGTAGAAGCTCTGACTGACACCAAATCAGTTGGGTTTCAATTCTGGCTTGAGGCATTCAGGTATCTAGTCACACTGAGGAGTTATTATGCAGCAAAACAGTAGTCTGTGAATGACAGATTCAAGAAATTCTAAGAAGATACATTCTATCATGCCACTGAAGGGTGATCCCATTGGTAATCCAAATTTTTCATTGTAAAAATTGTTATTAAATGTGAAATAGCATTGATTGGTGATGAGATTGTACATTTTTATTATTTTATTTGTTGGTAGGGAGAGGTTTATCTTTGATTGTGTTGGACACTTTTTTGAGAGATTTAAGCATTTTTCACTTGGGACACTAGTGTAAAATGATTTTATATCGAGACTAGCCATGTGTTTGTTAGCCATATTTGTTTCCTTTAGTTTTTCGACAAAGTTGCCTTAATTTTTTATATGTGATGGAGTTATTGTTTCAAGTAGAGGAGTTAAAATCTTTGCTATGACTCTTGCTATTTTGTGTGTGTGTGTGAGGTGGTGGGGTGGCTGTCTATTCCTGAAATGATGGGGTGCATACGGATACCAGTTTTGTGGGTTTTAGGGAGATTGTAAAGTTTGGATGTTCTCGGGTGATTCCATGATTTGTTTTCATTTTTAATTAATTTTCGGAGTTCCTTGTTGAATTTTTGTGTTTCAGTTGTTATTTTTTTTGTTTATTTTTTCTATATATGTCAGTATCATTAAGTAGTCAGTTAATTTTTCTATGTATGTATTATTGTTTATGATCACAGTTCCCCTCCCTTGTCAGAGAGAGTGATGTGGATTTCCTTATTTCTCACAAGGTCCTTTAGTGCATTTCATTGTCTCAGTGGTAATGTATTTTGTTGTTGGTTTCTATAGTAGCAGTAATTATGTCTTAAATGAAACCTTTGGTGAATTCAGAGTCATTTTGCTTGTAATGTTTTACTATAGTGTCTACTATGTCTCTTTTGTGGATTCCAGTGACAAATTGTAAACCGAAGCTGAGGGCTTCTCGTTCTGTATTGGAAAGCTTTATATCTGATAGATTTTCTATTAGATTAGGCTTTCCAACATATTTACACTTGCTGTTGTTTTATAGGTTGTTGATTTTTTGTCTCAGTTTGTTGTTTTGATTGTTACTCATTTGTTTGATATTTTGGTGTAGTTGAAACATTTCCAGCTTTGTTACAATGTACTTTTTGTGGAGTTGTATTCCAGCAGTCCTGACTCTTTTAGTGGTTAGTTTTTCCATCACTTCTAGTTCGTTGGCAGATGCTTTTAGGAAATTGCATGCATATGTTGGACAGTCCTGTGGGTTATATATGCCTGCATGAGCATCACCACCAGAAATAGGATGAACTGCACTATATTGTATCTAGTAACTTAGTTTCCTCTTTGCCACTGCGGCATGTTGGACCAATGGTATGATGCTTGTGTTGTATTGTAACAGTCTGGGTTTGATTCTCAGAGTCAGTAGAGAATGTGCACTGCTGATGTGTCCCCAAAAGTCTGCAATGGCTGTCCAGTGCTTTTCTGCATGTGTGTGTGTGTGTGTGTGTTGAAAATTCTAGGTCTAGATATGATGAATTATTATGAAACTACATACACATACAAACACACACACATATATATACATATATATATATATATATATTAAAGACATTATTTTTATGTTTAACGTTGTTATTTATAGATACAAGTATTTAAGCAAATGCTCTTTTTATGATAAACAGTATTAAATAACATTTACCGGCCTGAATGTCCGAGAAATTTTCATAGAAAATATTCGTTCTTTGACAGGATTCGAACCTGCATCCTATACAGGCCGGTAAATGTTATTTAATACTGTTTATCATAAACAGAGCATTTGCTTAAATACTTGTATCTATAAATAACAACGTTAAACATAAAAAAAAAATGTCTTTAATAAATAAATTGTCGGACCTTGTCCATTTCTTAATATACATATATATATATATATGGGTGTATGTGAACGTGTTTGTTAATATTATTTCTTTATTAAGTAATTTCGGACTTTTGTAGGTAAACACTGATAGAAAAGAGCACTTTGCTTGTGAATATGGATTAAACACAAAAAAGATATTTTTACCAAACAATCACCAGCAAATAAATTAATCAATAAGCTAAATGCCCTTATAAAAGGGACGATAGATTTTCTCTTCATTTAATGTGAAAAACATGTTTGCTTTTAGATAGATGGAGTTTCAGAATTATTAAAATAACATGACATAACATCAGTTCACTGATGAAAGAAGTCAGGCAAGTTAGATGAAAAAGAAAAAATAGCAATGGCTTGTATTTTGATAATAACAGTTTTTGTTTTAAAGCTTATCTTGATTGGCAATTCTTTGATCCTGGCTTACAAGCAGAAGCAAATGAGCCTTGAAATCATTTAAAGTCATTGATGTTTCAACTGGAAACAAAGATCTCGATAAAGAGTAACAATTTAAGGTGAGATTAAATATTGAAAAGGTTACTTTTGTTGACAGTTGTTTATTTATTTTTTTTTTAAATCAAGTTCACCCCAAGCAAGGCAGTAAAGCCACTGATAAACAAAAGGTTAATAGGTGTGGAAGAGTTAAAAACAGAAACATTACTAAGGAATGAGAACAAAAGAATAGTAATCAGGAGAACAGCAGATAGCAATTGACATTACATTTAAATTTTTGCAGATTAAAGTTGGCTGAAAAGCATGCAGCCAGAAGGGAGGTCCACAGTGAGAAGTGTGAGACAAGAAAATGTTAGCATAGAATTTATGGTTAGATCTAGTTAACTCAATGGTAAATTGGTGAGACCTTGTCACCAGTCTAGTACTGCATTTAAATTCAAAGAGTCTAGGCACCGTAGCAAAGAGCTCATCAAAATAATTACCATGAAAGTATTTATAGAAAAAGCAAAGGAAGGCAACCTTATGGCAGTGGGAAAGTGACTGAAAATGTGATGCTAGATCAGGACCAATAATATTGCTGATACTTTTTGGGATTCTATCAAGGAGATCTAGATAAATAGCAGGAGCACTGGACTATATGTAGCAGCAATATTCTAAATATGAGCAAATAGTAGACTTATAGATATGTAAGACTATCAGCATGGCCTGGCGTTGCCCGTGCTTGATTCAAAAAAATCATATGACTCATACAGCAATCGCTATCACTTGACTTAAAATATTTTTGCCCTTCCTTGAAAGGAGTGCCCTTTGCCGTGCTGATGTTGCTACATGCCTTACTTGTAGTAACACTGCAAATTTTTTCTAAGCTTTATACTAAACATTAAATCTGTTACAAAAAAGAAACTAAACAAAATGAACACAAAATGATCAGCTTTAAAAATGGACTCATAACTGGAAAAACCAAATGAAAAAAGAATGTTAACAACAAATACTTTTTCACACCCAACCTAGTTCGGCAGAATCAGAATCAACGTTGAGTTTAAGCAAGCGAATGAGCCAATTGGAGTAAAGTGCCATGCAGATTTAAATTTTTCCCACTTGTGACAAATGCAGCTATCAATTTTTTGTGCATGCTAGCATGCTAGTTAACATTTGTGTCAGTCAGCTGTTGGCTCTCACGTTGACTAATAGAATCTTCCTGCCTATTCGTGGCAGCCAGCTATAGGCTCTCACTCTGGCCAGTACAAAATGGCTGCAAACTACATGAAAGTGCTGTAGAAACATGAAAAAATTGATTATTTCCACTATCGATGGGAGTTGGGAAATGCAAAGTTGGTCTTGGCCTTCCCACTAAGTTGGAGCATATGCATATAAATTTTGGTGCAAATCCTTCAAAAATTGCGGCTGTGCATTCGTTACACACACGCACACACATCCTGCCTTTTATAGATAGAGATAGATGCTGGAGAGAAAAATTGCAAACAAAAAATTAATAATTGGATCACTTGCTGGCAATTGTTTCACTGGTGAACAAAGACTTCATTTATAGATGTCAGTTTAAGAAGAAATCATTTTATATAGTTAAATGAATTTGGAGTTGTTGTTCTACAGAAGGATGCTGAGGATACTATAGACCGAACATATGAGCAACAACAAAATTTTAGAGAAAATGGAAACAAAAAGGAAACTTACTGAACAGAAAAAGAGATTTGAAATTTCTATGGAACATAATGATGAAAGAGGACTTGGAAATCTGAATTATCAAGATTAACAATTAGTTCTAATAGAAATAGATAGATAGATAGATAGATAGATAGATAGATAGATAGATAGATAGATAGATATGAATACAGAGATTAATAGATAAATAGATGGATATGAATAGATAGATAGATAGATATGAATACAGAGATTAATGGATAAATAGATCAATAGATGGATATGAATAGATAGATAGATAGATAGATAGATAATGAATACAGAGATTAACAGATAAATAGATAAATAGATGCATATGAATAGATAGATAGATAGATAGATAGATAGATAGATAGATAGATATGAAAACAGAGATTAACAGATAAATAGATAAATATGAATACAGAGATAGATAGATAAATAGAAATGAATACAGAGATAGAATAAAACAAATATAAATAGAGAAATGGATATAAATGAATATACTGAAATAGATATATAGATAATCAACAGAATGAGATAGACAGATATAAAAAATAAGATCAATTTATAGATAGATGCATGATGCTAGATCTAAAAAGACTGAAACATATATATATATATATATATATATATATATATATATATATATATTGAGAGACCATAGAAAGTAGAAGACAAAGCCCTGAACTATGTAATGTCCTTGCCATCCTTTTGTACAGCTCAGAGTCATGGACTCCATACAGGTACCATATATGCCAGCTGGATGTTTTCCATAAAAGCTGTCTGCATGCAATCTGTGGAGTTAAACTTCAAGATAGGACATCCAACCTATACCTGTTTAACAGGTGTAATATTGGAGGAATCGAGACTTTTCTCATACAGTCTCAGTTACAGTGGACTGGTCATGTCTTGAGAATGTCTGTTGACCAGATACCCAAGAACCTAATGTACAGCCAGTTAGATCAGGACTACAGGAATGTAGGACGCCCATGGCTAAGATACAAAGACAAGCTGAAAAGCAACTTGTCAGCTGTCAATATACCACATAACACCCTTGAGTGCTTAGCCTTGGAGCAGGTAGAATGGAGATCCACATGTTTTAGTGGACTCAGCAGTTTTCAATCTGCTTGTCTGAATCATCTGCAACAAGTGAGAGCAATATCTAAAAGGTCAGCCAATCTAACAATGATCTCATCCCACAATCCTCACTCTTGCGCCATATGTGGCCTCCTTTGTAAATCACTAGAAGGTCTTAAGTGCCACATTATCACACAAAAATTTCATAACTTAATCAATTAAGCTGTCAGATCCTCATACGTGGAAACCGATGGTAGAGTCCATTATTACATATATATGTATAGTTAAAGACAGATATGAGCATAAATAATGAACAGACTGAGATCAATAGAAAAAATTAAAATCAGTTAATAGATATATGTAAAAAAATGACTGAGATATGTATACAGATAGAAAAGGTTTGATTTATATATATATATATATATATATATATATATATATATATATATATAAATAAGCATATCTTCATTCAAATATGTTTCATTAAATAATATAGATATATCTATTTTTACAGTAATCTGTTCTTGATGCTAAGTTGAAATTTATCAAGGAAGTCACCTTTTTTAGTTCTTTTTGATCCAAGTAATTTCACTCTCCTCTGAGATATTCCTCAGGAGTGAATTGCAAAGACAAACTTAATGTAATTGTAATTATTGGAATGGTGAGTTTTGTAAACATGAATTTTTATAAATGTAATCTGTTATAATCATTTTAAAATTAATTTTTATGATTACGATGTTTTGTAAATGAACATCCCCAATGCAAGATGGGTAATCAGAGATGATAAATTGCAAGATGGTCTTTAATGTTAATCAACTCAAATGCATTTTAAAACATTGCTACAATACTCATAATAAATTTTGTTCAGTGTTGGTTGATAAAGACGTCCTTGAGAATTCAAAGTTTTTGTTTATTATTTCCACAATGTATGTATTAGTGTTATCAGCAAGTATTTTCCTGTATTGTGAAGGTGGACAGGAATGTCTTTTTAAATGTTGTGCAATAGAACTTGTACCTGACATATGGAGTGTAATATGTCTTGATAATGTTGTTGTTGTCAAGCCAACATATGTACTTACTTTTTTGTCAGAGATACAGTCTCCCAAAGGACATTTAAACCGGTTGGTCTTTTGCAAAACACTAGTTGACGGAGAAGAGTTATTGTGTATAATTAGTACTTGAGTTAACAAGAACCATGGTGCCTTCCTTGATGAATTTCAAATTAACATCAAGAAGATAATTAGAACTAGAATGGATTATTAAAAAATTAATAGACATATGTCTGTATTATTTAATGAAACATGCTTGAATATATATATATATATATAAACAGATAATGATCAGAATTTTAAGATCAATTGATAGATGCATATAAAAAGTCTATGATAGATACACACATATATATATATATAGATAGATAGATAGATAGATAGATAGAAAGATTGACACATGCACATACACACACACACACATATATATATCTACATACATACATACATACAGTTAGATAATGATGAGAATAAGATAGATAGAAAGACAGATATTAACACAGATAAATAGACAGAGAGACAAACAGATAGATAGATAGATAGATAGATAGATAGATAGATAGATAGATAGATAGATGGGATAGAAAGAAAGAAAGAAAACAAAGCAAATGACTGTTGGATTTCCTTTTAATAGACAACTAGAACCAAAACCAGTAGTATATGTTACATTTACTTCTTCACTCACTTCATGCTGTATTTACTTCTGTATTTAGTTTAAATTTTTAAGGCAATAATAACGAAGAGACAAGCCGTTAAGATGGATAGATAGATAGATAGTACCTTGACTGCCTATTGTGACTTAAACTCAATCCAGACCTCAAGTGGAACTTGTACATATGGTCTATTACTGAAGATGCTAGAAAAATGGTCAGTTCTCTATACCCCGCACCAGAAAGTACGTGACACCTCCTGCTATCCTCCCCCCCCCTACAAAATACAGATCTGGCCAAAAATTGAGTACTGCTACCATATATCAGCAGGAGCTGCCCAGTTTTTATATTCACCTCTTGATAGAATTCAAAAGCATGTCTGCATCCTTGTGGGTGATGTATTATTTTCCACCCTACAATCCCTTTCTCCCAAAACAAAACGTAAAGCCTCTCACTGCTCTATCACTATTTCCATGAAAAGAGTTCAGACAAACTACATAATTTTTCCACTAGTTTTTACCTTAACAGCTAAGACCTGCCAAGCCACACACATTGTAGCAAACCTCTCTCACTCCCTTCGTATTTCATTGAACAGCTTCTTCCCACAAACTGCTACTTTGTCGAACTGACAAGAACTGTTTCTCCAATCATTGCAATATTAACCTATTCAATTCTGGGTTAACTGTTATCTTCCCCACATTTCTGCATAAACTGTTCCTCTTACACTGTTACCCTTTACTGTAAGCCTTGTACAGAGTGAACATAATTGTAAACAAAAAAATAGATTGATAGATGGATAATGAGAGGGAGAGAGAAAATGAGTATGACAGAATCCCATAAATACATATGTATAACTATATCACTGAGAATAAATTGTATGCATGTAAATGTGTGTCTATATTTCTGAGATGAGGTATTGTAACTATTTACATTGTTCAGACTATTGTCCTCATCTTTGATGTCATATTCATGATGTTTCGGCCATTGTATGCTTGGGCCTTCTTTTTTGTCCTCAAGGACACATGGCCCAGTGGATAAAAGCATTGGTTGAAAGAATCCAGTGATTTGACCCAAAGAGTTGTGAGTTCAAAAATAGACTTGAAAGAGTTGAGTTAAAGGGAAATAACTGAAACTGAGATATCTGGAAGATGCATGGCACATGGAACTAGAACAATCTATCCCAGTGGATGAAATAAAGGGTTTGGTTTGAAATTTTAATCACCTGAAGAAGGCTGGAGTGTACAATGGCCAAACTATTGTGAGTATGGCAACAAAGATGAGGTTTGGTTTGGTTTGTTTTGTTTTGTTTTATGGCATATCAACCTCAATGGGTTATTTAATGTCGCCCAAATTGTTTTTGCTGGTAATATTTTGTTTTGTCAAAAATCTATTTCTTGTAATATTTTTCCTTCAAAAATATATTGCTGGTAATATTTTTTTAAAAAAAGTATTGTTTTTTTCAAAATAGTTTTTTCTTCAAAAATTTATTGCTGGTAATAATTTTTTTACAAAGATTTTTCTGGTATTAAAACTTATTTTTACACTTTCATAGTGTTTTTAGCCCAGTTTCAGGGTTAACTATTTGCCTATTGTTGGGACCCTAACAGGTGCTACCACCCCTGATCAAGGTGGACCTGGGAACACCAGCAATTAAGAGGTGGTTCCACGCTCCTCAAAACCTCTCGATCAGAGGTTTTGCTATTGGATGTAGTTTATCGTCTTACCCAGGATGCAGATTTAGTTTATCGTCATACCCAGGACAGACAAAGACGAGGACAACAGCCCAAACAATGTAAATAATGTGTTTTTGTATGTCTCTGTTAACTTAAATACTCATTCAATATCATATTCCTGTTTTTTTTTTAATGAAATCAGCATCTTTTTCTATCTTCCTTACACATCTCTTTTCTAAGCCTCCAATCTTACTTTATCTTTTCTTAGCCTATCCTCTGTGACCTCCTTCTGGTTTTGTGAGGAGAGAGGTCATGTAATATTGCTAAGTTGTGTGAAAGCTTAAAGTCAAAAGAGGGAGGGGTGAACTCCCTGCAGGGTGAAAGTAGATGTCTAAATACTATAATTATCATGTCAATTTAACATTTACGCTACTACACCTGTATGGCCAGCAATTAAAGGGGTCAGCCAAAACTAAGTGGCTAGCATGATTAGCTAACAGACAGCTGCCACCTCTGTGATGAGTGATTGACCCTTCAGTCTTCTGGGATTCATCTTTTAGCTTTCAAGCCTTGGGAGATGTAAGCTGGGTGGATACTGGGAAAGAATGCCCATTTTATCTTCTACTTTGCCCCTTCTGTCACCAACTTTGCCACTTCCAGCCAGTCAACGAGGATGGAAGATCCTGTTGTAATATTCTTGCCTCTATGGAAGGTCTAGTTATCTCATTGATGAAGAAATAAATAAGATGTGCTGCTTTTACTGTCAATCATATATTATTGAAAGGGCATTTTTAAAAAAAATATTATTTATAGCTATTTACTGACCCAACAAATTTCCTTTTAACAGGATGATAACCTGCAAGTTTCCCTACCCATATAATATTTTATCGGCTCGGCTTTGTCCATGTGGTGGGTCTCCTATTTTCTCTTTGTTCTTTGTGCTTCTTTTTTTTTATTTTCTTCCATTCCTTTCTTCTTTTTCTCTTCTCTGTAATTCTACCATTTTCTTTATTTTTGTTTTTATTATCCTTTCATATTTTATTCTGTTATCTCTTCATATTCTCTATACTTCCATTATTTCTTTTCTTTTCTTTCTGTTTCTTTTATCTTCTTTTCCTTTCTCTTTCTCAATGTTTTTCTTTCCTTTCTGTTTTTCTTTGTCTTTCTTTTTCACTTTTCTTCACTTACTCTTTTTCATTTTTCTCTTTTTCATTTTCTATCATTTATTTCTGTCTTTCTTTATTCTTGATATTAATCATTTTCATTTCTTTCTTAGGTTTCTTCTCTTTCACTTTATATTCATTCACTGTCTTTTTCCTCCAGTTCTTCTGTACATTTTACATTTCTTCAATCTATTTTTGTCTTGCCTCTGCTTTCATTTTTCTTTCTTTCTTTTTTCTTTCTTCATTTCATTCATGTTGTAGAGTAGTTTCAAAGTGGAGGCTTGTATTTCACTAAGTCGGTACTAAAATAGGTTCGATGTACAAAACGTTAGGAACTTGATATAATAGGTAATGACGCAAAGAAATCTAGTGGTGGTAGTTGATACTTTAATATCCGACTAACGGTCATCCAACATCGACTGACTGACTGACCAACTCCACTGAGGGACTTAGTGACTGCTACTACTCCTACTTATTATAGGTGGGAGAGTCTATTAACAATAGAATAGGTGTGTTCCACTATAACACATTCTTCATTCATTCCTATCTTTCTTTCTTTCCTTCTTTATTCATTTCTATCATTTTTTCTTTCTTCATTTATTTCCATCTTTCTTTTGTTCTTCATTCATTTTCATCTTTTGCTCTTCATATATTTTTATCTTTCTTTCATTCTTCATTCATTCCTACCTTTCTTTCTTTTTCTCTTCATTCATTTCTATCTTTCTTTCTTTCCTTTTTCATTCATTTCTTTCTTTCTTCTCTCATTCCTATCTTTCTTTTGCTTTTCATTCATTCCTATCTGTTTACTTCTATTTTTCTTTCTTCATTCATTTCTATCTTTCTTTCCTTCTTTATTCATTTCTATCATCCTTTCTTTCTTCATTCATTTCCATCTTTCTTTTGTTTCTCATTCATTTCCATCTTTCTGTTGCTCCTTATTCATTTCTATCTTTCTTTTTTTAATTCTTTCTTTCTTTTCTACATTCATTCCTATTTTTGTTTCACCTCATATATTGCCGAAGTAATCACGATTCCCTTAATGCTTGTAAGTGTTTGGAAACTGCTAATAATGCTGCAAGATTTCCTCAAAAATATTGATTCAAGTCAACAAAGAGAGATAACTTGAGAAATTTTTACTGATCATTCAAAATCAAATTTTACTGGATCCTTAGAGTGTTGGATATTTCTAATTAAATAATAAATCTTTAATATTTTCCTATTTCAGCCTATATACTTTATCTATACATTCACACACACCATTAAGAATTAGTTGTGTATGTTGTATGTTAACTCTGTCAATTCCTCTGTGGATTGTAGAGTCAAAGCTCTCAATATGACTTAAATAGCAAGGCAGATGACATTCTAGCCATGGTTGGTAACAATTCTAAGAGAAGAACTCTAAATTTGAACCACTTCAGTAGAGTGTTACCAGCTTGAGCTTCTTTCTATTAGCTGACATAAAGATATAAGTTTGAACTCCATCAGAGAGTGGAAGACAAGTAGGTATAATACTTTTTCTCTAACATGGAATTAGAGGCAAAACTCACTTCAATTTGCTGAGCTATGAATGATTCTGACGCCATGCATTATATGCAGATGGGAGTCTAGATCTGATGAGGCTATGTAAGAAGATGATTTGAATTAATAATAAGAATTGATACAAAGAAATTAATTAATAAAACTTTATAAAATTAGCTAAAAAAAATAATTAATAAAATTAAAGATTAAAAATTATGTTTTGAATATACAAGTTTTAAGTTTTCAAAAATATCCGTGGACTTATTTTTTTCTTTTTAGATTGAGGTACCTATTGTTTTTTGTTGGTGGAAGTAATTAAAAAAAAGATAAGTTGTTAAATATAGGAGTAGATAGGTTTGCCTATCATTCAGTTCAAATTCCTACCTGGTCTTTTGAACAGAAGGAGAGGTTTATCCCTTGTTTTCTGTTTAGGATTGTGTTTCTAGTTCCTTCTAAAGTCTACTTCAACTCTATACTTCTAACATCTCCACCAAAACTCTGAAATTGTATTTACTATTTATTTTTGCTTTCAGTAGGAGTAAATAGGTTCACCTGTGATCTGGTTCACACTCCTCCCCAGTCTTTTGAACAGGAGTAGAGGTCTATCCCTTGTTTCCTTTTTAGGATTGGATTTCCAGTTCCTTCTAACATATCTAGTTCCAGGAGATCTGGTACTCCCAGGATGCATGTCATCATTACAGTAATGAAAAGTAGAAATAATAGTTTCAGAGCTATTCCTTGATGACTGTGGCAAGCTAAAGGTGAGAAAGTTTCCATCTCCTTTCTCACATCTGTATGGAGAGTGACATTAAAAAAATGATCATGCACTATATAGCATCAAGTGGTATCATTTTAAAATACTCTCGCTAGAGAGAAGGATCTTGAAAATTTTCTTACAATAATTATTTATTTGAATGTAACATAATGGCTGACTGACCATTTCCAAGTGTGATCATCTGCTTTGAGTGGGGTGGTGATTTTTTGCTAGCACAACCCACAATGGATTCTAGATACTCTTGTCTACACAATTTCACTGCCAACGCATGGGTCAACTTGTGATATGGTTTTCAGACACTTTCCAACACTGCTGTATCCTGATAGTGTCTCTGCAGGCCAATATTATTAAGAAGTTACTTGACAAATCAACCATTGAGAAAAAGAATGTAGATCCATTTGGGTTGTCTCTTGGTTGAAAACCATGCATGTTCTCTTTTACAGAAAACAGAGAAAAGAATGAAACAGAAACATTTATGTTATCAGGGAACATTTTTCATTCAAAGAAAAATTCAAATAATGTTCTGTAAAGAATGAATGAAAAGTTGAACATATTCTGTCAGTGAGTTTGTGAGTGATTTTTTTTAATCATTAATTAATTAATTAATCATTTCACCCCAGGCAAGGCAATAAAGCCACTAAGATGCAGAGGGTTACTGAGAGTGAAAGAATAAGATGAGGAAAAACATAATTTAAGAGTAAGAACAATAAAAGACTAAGAATTAAAAAGACAGACGATAACGATTGATATTGCATTAACATTTTTGAAGAGAGTTCCACAGGTGAGAAGTGCAAAAAAAGAAACTGTTAGCATAGAACTTACAGTTACATTTAGAAAATTCAACTGTAAAATGATTAGACCTTGTTATCAATCTAGTACTGCATTTTAAATCATAAACTATAGGTAACATAGATGAAAGTTCATCAGAAAAATTGCCATGAAACTATTTATAAAAAAAAGGCACAGAGAAGCTACATTTCAGAAAAGGGAAAGTAGCTGAAGCAAAGATGCAAGATTGGGACCAATAACATTGCAGATTCTTTGAATTTTATTGAGAATCTCTAAAAGTATGGATGTATGGTAAACTTATAAATATGTAAGATAGATTCTGGTGATAAAAATTGTCTACTAAGACACAGTGAACTAACTCTCCGAGCAGCAGCCATGTGCATCTAATTTTAGCGTCCTGTCCCAATCTCAGCCAGAAATGAAAGAGAATTACCCTCTTCAGATTTACAGCCCACATGCTCCTAGTTATTTCCTTTTTACATATACCCGCAAAATGGAAAGGGGTTACTGTTACTAATAGGGTTATTGTTGTGGAGTATTTTCACAGTGGAGGCTTGTATTTCTAATAAGTTGTACAAGACGTTAGGAACTTGGGAAATAATAGTCAATAATGCAGCAAATCTAGTTGTGATGGTTGGTACTTCAAATGTCCGAATCTCGACTGACGTTCTCAACACCGTTCTGCAGACTTGCCACTGCTACTCCTACTTATTATCTATGGGAGAGTCCATTACCAAAGAATAGGTAGTATAACAGTTATCAATGCATGAGTGTCTAGTGAAAAGTTGTAACATCTGCTCTGGAAATCCTACCAGGATTCATCATTAATAGTCGTAATCTTAAGAACGTAAGATATGCAGATGACACAGAAAGGAAATTACAAAACCTCGTACAGAAGGTAGCAAAGGAGAGCAAGAAGAAGTGACTAAGCATAAACTACAAGAAGACAGAATGCATGGTCATCAGTAAAAGGATAAGCTCAAAATGCCATTTACAAAGTTTGTCTTTCATCCCCGATTTGAAAACACCAATTGCTTTTATTGACAGAACATTTTTTTTCATTTATCAACAACTGGGAGAAGACACACAATATTAGCATATCAAAATACTTTTATGACGACTCCTGTGATTGACTTGTTTCTTATTTCAATATTCTGTCTTCAGCATGTCATGCAGAATATGTACCTTTTTTTGGCAAGTAACTTTCTTTTTCACCACATTTTCTGTCGTATGAGACATGTGACATGTTGTTACTTGGTCTGATGAGGTAATTCACCATTTTCTTTACTCTAAAAAATAAGAGATTGCTTTAAATTTAAGAGAAAAAATTGTTTAGGTTTTTTGTTTTGTATTTGGGAAGTAACTTTGTAAGACAATACTTTGTTATAAATTTGTATTTCTAAACTCAATCTATCCTTCTGGATAATTAATTTTTAATGGTGTTTTTTATATTCATTTTTTTGCATCTACTTCTTCTACTAGGTGCTGTCTCCCTACAGGACATTGGCGATCATGGCTCTCCACAATGTCCTAGCCTTTGTAGCTCTTAATAACTTTTATCTTTTTGACATCCCTTGTGTATCCTGCTCCGCCATCAATTCATTCAAGCCCACCAGCTAGGTTATGCATTGCTTTTCTCTGTCTCTCTTACCCTCAATCTGTCTTGTGAGTAACAAATTTTCCAAGCTTTCTTTCCTCATTACGTGTCTCAGAAACCTCTTCCTGATGCTAAGTATAAGTGTCCTTTTTGTCTCCATTTTCTCTAAAACTTTGTCATTGCTCACATGTTCAGTCTAAGGTATTCTCAGCATCCTTCTGTAGAACCACATTTCTGTTGCTTCAAGTTTTTTCTTCATCTGTGAGGAGATTGTCAAACATTCACTCTCATATAGGAGAGATGATATTACATAACAGTTCAGCACTCTGTTCTTTGTTTTTGTTGCTTCAAGTCTCTTCTTCTTCTGTGAGGGGGACTGTCCAGCATTTACTGTCATATAGGTGGACCGATATTACATAAGAGTTCTGTACTCTTTTTGTTGTTTCTTATAATATTACTCAGCTTTTGGAATCTATAAATTTGTAAATGAATAAACCACTGTTAAAACTACAAATTATAATTACTTTTCTTTAGTCTTATTAAAATATTTTGTTTTCTTTGTATTATATTACTAAGTT